AATCGTCAGGTTGGAACCTTTCTTTCTGATGGTAGTTGGATTGAGGTACCGGTTTTCGCTGGCGTTCCCCAGGGCTCTGTTTTTGGTCCACTCTTGTGAATTTTAGCGTATGATGGTGTGTTGGATCTAATTCTTCCGGGTGGCGCTATTACCGTCGGTTTTGCCGATGACATGGCTCTCGTGCTTGTCGCCCGTTCCTTATCCCGTCTACGCTCCCTTGCTGAGGAGTGTCTTCGCATTCTAGATAGCTGGTACACCTCTCAGGGCCTAGTCCTAGCCACCCACAAGACCGAGGCCATTCTTCTGACCGGTCGCCGCGTGCCTCGTGGAATATCCTTGATTCATGGCTCAAATACCATCCATACTTCGCCCTTTGTGCGTTATCTTGGTGTTCTTTTCGGGAACAGTCGCCTCTACCACCAGCACATTGATAAGGTTTGCGCCAAGGCCTTGGCTGTTGCAAAACGCTTATCTTGTCTTCTTCCTAACTTGCGCGGCTGTGGTTACACTGGTCGCATTTTGTACTACCGCGTTGTAGAATCTATAGTCCTTTATGCTGCTCCCGTTTGGTTTGAGGCTGTCGCTTTCACCCGTATCCTATCTCGCCTGCATTCAACTCAACGCGTCGGCCTTGGCTGTTGCAAAACGCTTATCTTGTCTTCTTCCTAACTTGCGCGGCTGTGGTTACACTGGTCGCATTTTATACTACCGCGTTGTAGAATCTATAGTCCTTTATGCTGCTCCCGTTTGGTTTGAGGCTGTCGCTTTCACCCGTATCCTATCTCGCCTGCATTCAACTCAGCGCGTTGGTCTCCTCCGAATTTGTCGCGCCTATCGCACCGTTTCCACCTCAGTTCTGTGTGTCCTCTCCGGTTGTACTCCTTGGGAGTTTCTTATTCATCTTCGTACCGCCTATTTCCATATTGATCCCTTCGCTGATAGTTTAGATCTTCCTCGCACTGTCGATCTCTTCGCTCGTCGCGATTGGCAATCATCCTGGAGCACTTGTCCCACTGGCGATTGGACACGTCGCCTTATTCCAGATCTTGGTTTCTGGATCACGTCCGGTGGTCCCCGTCTCTTGTCCTTTCATCTCACTCAGGTTTTGACAGGCCACGGCTGCTTCGCCAGTTACCTTTACCGTATCAATCGTATTTCGTCTCCCGGTTGCTGGTTTTGCCAAACCGGAGTTGAAGATGACGCTTATCATACCCTTTTTTCCTGCTGTTTCCCTTGTGCTCGTTGTTATGCTTGTTTTAATTTGATTTGTTTTGTTTATTCTTCGCCGTGTTTAGTTACCGTCTGCGCTCCGCCTTCTGCATCGTGTCAACAGGCCAGTATACATTTTATTTCCTGCTTGATCCTGCCTGTTCTTTTATGTTTTATGTTTATTCGTTCAATGCACTAATCTAGATTCTGATTTTACCTGTTTCAGCTTTCTTCGCTAGGCAAACATCCTGCGCCTTGTTTGACTCATGCTAAGTTAAGTAATCTTGCTGTACTCACTTACCTGTCGCGTCATTTGCTTCGATTCACGTCTAACCTGACTAACTCTTATCCGTCTGTTTCAGCTCTGCTGCTACCTCGTCCCTTGGATTTTGGGTCCGGTTTATTGCTCAACACCTGTCTCGTCGTCCGCATCGCTTCTCATCCATCGTCGTTTGTTTCCTAGTTTTGGAAGGATACCTTCCTTTCTGTAATTAGACCATTATTTACTCCTATTCCATTAACTTCTCGCTTCTCCACCTCAGGTGCATTAGCAATCGATTCCCGCTCCAATTTCATGCACTGACTTGTTGCGTGTTAAGTCATTCGCACGCTCATGCCAAAACATGCCAGTGTGCTCCACTCATTTCGTACCTCTTAATTCATGCTATTTCCTTTCCATTCATGCTCCTTTCTGTCTCTATTTCCGTTGCTTCTTATTTAATTTTATTTTATTTGAGTTTGTTAGGTTAAAATTGATTAAATTATTAGTTTGATTTGATTTATTGAGTTTTATTGTATTTAGATTTATTGGATTTTACTAGATTTAAGAGTCACGCCGTGTTGCCTTTAAGCGCGCTTATCAATTTTGGTTACCCCTCTGTCAATTTAAATCAAATTAAGTTAGTTCGTTTGTTCGTTTTGGTGTTCTGCTTTTGTTCGTTACTTCAGTTTAATTTGGCCCTAACTTATATTAGTATTAATATTTAGATTTACGTTTAAATTTGTCCCTAGGGTCGAGATTAAGATTAAGATTGCTACATTGAATTTGAATTTATTTACTGAGCAACCTATCCTAATCTAACCTAGCGTGTTTTCAACTTTTGTTTAATCTAACCTGTTGAAATTTTAATTTTATTTGCGACTTGCCCTTATCGATTAGTGATTGCGTCTGGTGATTTAGTGACTTAATTAAGTTCAGTTTTGCTGGTTTTATTTGGTTTCGGCTTTGATTTTGTTAATTAATTAATTATTTAGTTATGTGATTTGATTTGTTAGTTAAATTAAATTTGACTTAGCTAGATCTAATCAATTTAGTTAGATCCAATCACTTAAAGAATTATTTCAATTTATTAAGCCAATTTTATTTAACATCAAATTGGGTCTTTCTACGTTCGACGGTGCCTTTATAATTTAACAAAGACCGATCGACGTTAAGACACTTAGTTAGATCTAATCAATTAACCAATTAATTCCTTCAGTGGTTGATAAGTAACTCAATTGCTATTGTTCTGTTATTATTACTCTTATTATTATTATTATTATTGTTATCATCTCCCTTTTCCTTCCGCGATTTAGGTTCCCCTCGTGATTTAGCCTGAGCCCCTTGTTTCCCTGCGCTCATTGCGGTTACCATATTAACCTATCCTAGTAATAATAGTTCCCTATCAAATGACAAACAGCAGATACCTTGTGTCTTATATTTTGTGGCCTACCACTACGATGAATGGTCCAGTTGCTAAAGATTCATTATTATTTATTTATTATTTGTTATCAGTTATTGTTGGTTTAATTAGTTTTAACTTATTTTATTTAGCTTCTTTAGCTTATTTATTTATTGTTCGCTCTAGTCGTTAGCCATGTTATTTCCCGCCATACTACTTTAAGCTTATCTGCTAAATTTAAACGCGAATGTAAGATGTGGGATGTGCTATGTGGGTGTAGAATGCATTGCGTGTATTAACTTGTATTTGTTGTATTCCGTTGAATTATATTCTGTTATATTTTATATCGTGTTATGCTGTATTATATTGCGTCGTATCGTGTTGACCTCCCTTTCGTGCTGAGTACTCCGAGTTGATAATTGATAAATGGAGTGTTTGATACCTAGGTGCTACGTGTTGAGCACTGATATCTGTTAGTATTTTCCCCTGTCTGTGCTGTTATTCTTAATGATTGGATTTGGATTTTGTTTTGATTTGGTTCTAATGACTAATGACTAGTGCCTTATTATTCGACTTGCTCTTGATTGATTGCCTGATTGCCTGGTTTGGATTTAGATTCTGACTTTGGTTTGACTTTAACTAGTTTTGATTTTGGTTTGATTTTGTCTTTGATTTGTTTAAGTTATTTGTTCTTAATCCGTTTAATTAAGGGTGTTGCGTGTGATGTATGTCTTATATTATTTAATTAATTTAATTTAATTTAGTTGTTCTAGTCTTAACTCGTTTAGCGCGTGCGTAAGCCCTTGTTCCTTAGTTTCTGTACCTACTCCCGCCAAATTGTATTTTATCTTTAGAATTAGAATTTGAAGGATCTTGGGATATGATGTGATGATGATTTGTGCCTTAAATAGATGTTTCGTTGATATTTTAACATTTATGTCTTACTTTCTGCTTATCATTATTTTTATTATTTATTTATTTATTTACAAGGTTAACATTTCGCTTGCGTTCATCCTTAGCTAAATTAGTTAACAGTATATACATTATATTTAAGCTATTTGTTTAGGCGTCGCGCCGTGGCCTAGCTATAATTATAATTAAGACTTAGTTTAAGTATATGATAAAAGTAAAAGTAAGTGCCCATTTCTGTGGGTATAAATGTGTGAATATGTACATAAGTGATCCCTATGAATGTAAATGCGAGTATGTGTAAGTCTAAGCGTAACTATTAATAGTAAAAAATAAATATGAGTAAATATGAATAATAAATATGAGTAAGTAAATAATAAATATGAGTAAATATGAGTAAATATGCGAATGGATATATATTGAATACGTTAAATATTAAATATGTTGGATATTTAGATAAATATATGTTACTAAGTGCACGCTGTTGTTTGTTTATTTATCTTCATGCGTGATGAAATCGCCTCTTACCATGGGTCTTTACTTGTGCCAGGTTTGGCCCACTGCTCTATTTCTGCTGTTTTCTTTTCTTCATTTTTCCCTTCTTTCTTCGCTCCCGTGTTCCCCTTTCCGTCCCTTTTCCTGCTCTTGTCCTCGGCTTCAGACTTCCTCCTCCGAAAGAAGGGCCTTAACTCCTGCCACTTGGTACGGATTTCTTTCTCCTGTACCATCTCCTTGGCAGCTTCTCTCGTACAATCAAGGTAGGCGATTCTGTGGCAAGTACCCTCTGGCCCCTTGATACATCTAAACCTGATGTCCCCATTTCTCACTAACTCCCCTAACCTGCTCTCTCTGTACGCTCTCAGCAGTTCTTCCTTGTCCAGATCTGGGTCCGTTATTCTGATAGCGATTTCCACGGTGTCCGAATGAACCCGCGCAAACCACCTTCCCTCACCCTCCCTGTTAA